CACTGAAAGATTTACAGAGATGTGTATATATGTATAATATATGCAAACATCTAGGAGTATATATGCAATTTTGATGCTTCGACTGTTTTCTGATAATCTTACTCCGAGTTCTGTCACAAATTGTAAATTGCCCGAAACGCTCTCAAGACACGGACGATCGTGACGATCAAAATGATCACGCTCGTAGATCAAAGCGAAATTCGTGTGGCTTCTTTCACACCCGGTAGAGTCGCTGTTGCGTCAAATATGCAGATTAAGACCGCGGAACAGACCAAGGACGTGGCAATGCAAAAAGCGCGTTACTCTCGCACATCCGCGCGCGATACCCGAGTCTTGAATCTTTAATCCTCCGCCACCAATCGGCTCGATCAAGAAACGTATTTGCGAAGGTCGAATCCTTCGCATTTAATCTCGACGTTTTCGTTACGAGAAACGCATACACCGACTGTGACATTTCGGGACCAGATTCCTTCGCTTTTTTCTTTTTCTTCCGTAAAAAAACTCCGTCCGGCAAATTCATTCAAGCCGTCTCTACGACTTATTATAGATATGAAGAAACATTTCATGCTCAATTCAACCATATGTAATAAAGTTACATTTGAAAAACGTATTTTTGAGAAATAAATTGAAAAAACTCTTGTACGCTATTCGTACCAATCTTACGTGCTCGCTATTTAACGACGATTTCTTTTCCTTCTGTCTCCTTCATAATTTTCTGCAATAAATAGAAATGTAGACAGATATTCATAAGATCAGTCGCATATAATTTTTATTAATTACAATTTATGTATATATAACATATAATAATAGCAAAAACGTAAGAATAGTACAAAGAAAAATTCAACGCGTCTCCGGTCCTCATAGACTACGGATTACAGAAAATATGTAATTAATAACAATTATTTATGTAACTGTTATGAATATCTGTCTATATTCTTATCTATTACAAGAAATTATAAACGAGGAAAAGAGAGAAAGGTTAAATAGCGGACACATAAGACTGGTACAGATAGCATACGTAAAACGGTATTTTCAATTTATTTCTCAAAAATGCGTTTTTGAAACATAACTTCACTGTAAATGGTTGAATTTGGCTTAAAATAAACTTTAATTTCGTTACAAGATTTCGGGCACCAACGAAAAATTGTTTCGTTATTAGGTTTGTCTGCTCTATAATTCTGCGAAATTTCAGATTTTTTAATTTACGCGTTGCTGAACGTCCCTTGTTAGTGACATTTACGAAATGATTATTCGAGCCTATTTTCTCTTTTGGATAAATTCTGCTTTGCAATTGAAAGATGAAAAGAAAACATAATGCACGTCTAATACGAAAGCATCTCTTTGCTTCTGTGTATATATGTATATATCTATTAAAATATATATTAAAAGAATTATTAAAAGAATCTATTAGAATATTAAGACCACGGGCAGAGGATATTCTCTTTGTCTACCAATGTCTACATTTCGACTTCAAAATCTGAAAAATGTGTAAGTCAGCGCTACATGATTTCAGCAAAACATGATTTCAACAGGCATAGGTATAGACCAACCGAGTTCCAAACACCGCAGTTGATTTTTGCTTCAAAAATGATTCTAAAATAAAATGCGATAGTTGTGGCAACCGCAATAATCACTTGTGCTTGGTGTAAAAAATCGCTTTGTGACATTTTTCCACGAACACCACTTCTGGCAACGAACATATGCCATAAATGTAACATATGTGTAAAAGTGGATACATACACAATAGATCAACCGACTTCCAAATACCGGTTGATTTTTGGGATTGTTTCAACCCCTAAATCTTGATAAGAGTTAGAAAGGAACTAATCGAGTTACGTAAGAAAATTTAGGAGGTTGTCTGTGTAATTCTCATTTTCGTTTCAAATTATAATTAAAGTATTAATGTTTATGTATTCAAATGGTGTTATTTGTTAGTGTCCAAACTAAAGAAAAGAATAGCAATCGAATTATAAGGGTACAGCCATGCAAGAACCTTATATTTTGGATGTATTGCAACCTATACGTTACACGTATCTTTTTTTTACCGGAATTTATACAATCTATTGTTATACTAACGGTTATACTAATTGTACCAGCTGGAACAACAGAAAAAATACAATTGTTAGATGTATGTTATCGGGGACTCACGCGGTCTGAATGGAAAGTCATGTAAAATTGGCGCGGCATAAAATGGATTAAACGTTTAATCATTTTTCGAATACCATTACGCTTCTAGATCTCGAGGTAAAACCTGATTCAAGAAATACTATTTTAAAATCACTATTGTTAATATACAACACATTTTCTCTCTCCATCACTACCAGGTTAAAAAATTTATTCAAATATATGTGGCACAAAAGTGGATATATAGGCCATTAAAATTTGAAGCACTTGTCGATTTCTATCTCAAAAACTATTTAAAACCAACGATGTTCAAAATGGCAAATTATTAGCGTTCAGCAATGTTCGATAAATTATATAACTTTATCATACATGATTGAATTTTGGCGCAAAATATGTTTTAATTTAGCTGCGAAAGAATGACATAGATTTCGAAAACTATAGTAGTTGATGGAGATATCTTGAAAAATGACATTTTCTGAAAATTAAAATACGCCATTACAACATGATTTTACAGGCATAACATTAAAAAAAAATTTTTTTCACAATCCTCGATTATACTAGACACGTAAAAAAAAAAACCAGTGCTTTTCAAGATACTGCTTCCACTTTTAGAAGCATTTGTTAGTATTAACAAAACATTGTTATTAGATATATCTATACTTTTATGCAAAAATTGAGATGCTTCTGAATTTTTATATTGCCGAATCTCCCTCGTTAGTCGCTACTATTTTTAACCATATTCCCGTACGGTTGAAAATCACAGTAATTCTAACCAAATAAATGTTAGGATAGATATGCTTTAACTGTACACTTCTTTGTAGACGACACGATTCGCTGTCGAATACGAATGAATATCGCAGCCGGTTCTGCACAACAAACGGGGAACTGATTGCAATTACAAGATCACCCGGGCGGTAACGATCGGAACTTCGTGGCCGAACTGAGATACGTAGAACGTGTATATATACGCAGGCGGAACCTCGAAATCGAAGTCCACTCGGAATATTTACTTTTCGTCCGCGTCCAGAGAGCTGAAGAGCAGACTTGCGATCGCGCGCTCTATGTCGACGAGGAAAACAGAGAGAGCAAAAGAAAAGGAGAGACCGTAGGCTCGTCGAGTGTCGTCCTACGCTCGATTGTCGCGATCCGAGGTCTGCCCAAGGTGGTCAAGAACAACGAGAATTCATTCCACGGCGCGATTTCACAACGACGACGCATCGCGTCGACGAGGCGCGCAAGACGAAGAAAAGGAGCCTCGCCACCAACAAAGCTTCTTCTGCTTTCTCTTCCTCTTTGTCATCTTCAACGACGAAGCAACCGAATTAACCCCATCTCGCCCGCGTGTGTCTCGTAAAAAAAAAAAAAAAAAATGCGTAAAGTGGCACCGTACGTATTGCACCGTACGTACCTGCTTCCAGCGAGCGCGTCGCCCTCGAAAGATCGAGGGAAGAAGAAGGTGGTAGAGCGTGTAAACGCGGACAGTGGTATCGGCGGGCGCGTCTCTCCGCTCGCGATTCTTCCCTTCGACCCCACTTTTCGGACGTCTTCTCGCGGCTACTTTGCGGACGTGTCGAGAGAAAGAAATCCTGTGCGACGGTATTTCGCAAGCAAGTCGCACAGAGCCTCGATAGTGTCTGTATTAGTAGTAGAAAATTAGAATTAGTTTCGGCGCTAAACATACTCTTTCACCATAAAAATAGCCAGGAGAACTATTTTTTTCTAGCATCATTATAGTAACAACAATTTATATGTATGTTACTATTGCTATAAAATATGTTTAACATCGAAACTGTAATTTGCTATCAGTGTACACTACCGGTCATTAATATGAATAAATGACTAAATATCTCGTTAATGTTATAAAAGAAGTGACAAGTAAATATATATTTTTATCAAAAAAGAGCCCATATAATGCTTTTTATTCATCATCGGAGTGTCTTTTTCATTTAAATGGAACGCCGACCATCGAATTCCTAGTGGCTTTGAAGTGTACCCGCCTTGAAGTGCAAGTGCGAAAAAAAAAATCATCAAGTACAAATCATCTTTGGGAAGTTCTACGAATAAGATGAAAGCAAATTGGATCCGAAATTTTGGATAAATTGAATTGCCAGAATGCCTCGGCTATGCGAGGTTGTAATTAAAATGAAAGGTGAGATACGTAGACGAAAGCAAAATCTGAAGTAAAAATATCGCTTTAGCTTCAACATTACGCGTGAAATTTAATTGATATCCGCATAAAGTCCTCGCGATAAACCAGCGATCACATAGTTATGTGAATTTTATTTCTTGACTTAAACTACCAAAACCCGAATAATTTCAGCATTTATTCAAATTAACGGCCTTTGTAATGCACGTTCATCATATTTCAGCTTGCCGCTTCGAGGTCACGTTTTCTCGATCGTGTACCGCGATTATCTCGGGTGTAAGTTTTTGCCGTTTTTAAGTGCAGCGCGACGAGGTGAGGTGAGGAGAGAGGGGGAGTTAACGTCGAACGTATCCACGTAAGGCGGGAGGCAACGTGTGTACGAGGACATACGCCGTAACACGCGTGCCACGCACCTTGCGTGCGCGATGTTGCTAACTGGACTAGCTGGACCGACCAGCTGCCTTCAATCTCGGCGCGGGTCATCGTTGAATTGTACCCTATCTCATTTTGCTCCGTGATGTAACACTGTCCCCCCCTCCCCCCTCCCCTCCCACGTTTTTCACCGACTTCACGAATAGCACGAATGCGCGACTGTGCGTTATCGAGGTCAGTCGCGGGGGTCACGAGATCCGCTCTATCGGGGATCATTTGACTTGGTTATTTATTCAGCGACGCGGAGTGACCGATATATCGAGAGAGAGAGAGAGAGAGAGAGAGAGAGAAAGAAAAAAAAAACTCGCCGCGTGCTGACGTCCGCGCCGCAATAATTAATACGTGCGCGCGATCGACACCAGATACATAATAGACGTGATATAATTAATTTCTGCAGTGCGCAGCGCGAGATGAGGAGGAGAACAACCGAATCGGCGAACGGCGCATAATGCGCGCACACAGGAGTGAATAATATTCGATAGCGCGCTGCTGTCGGAAAATCGAAGAAGGACGGAGGAGAAGAAGAGAGAAAAAAAGAAACCAACGGGACGGACTTTCGAGAGAGAGAGAGAGAGTACAACTACTGCGAGGAAGAGACGAGGTGCTCTTTCAGCACCTCGTACTTTGTGCCGATCTATCTTATTTATTTATTTTGGAAGTGGCTACGCGATATATACATGAGAGGGAGAATCGCGAAAAAGTCGTGAGTCGGTATCGCCATTCCAGATTGCACGGGTTTATTAATACAGAGATAAGAATAACTAAGCTCGATCTATCGTTATCGAAAGCGCGCGTCTTCCGCGAGAGGAGCGTAGTCGGACAAAGTCAGAGGCGTAACGACACTGATCGTTGAGTCAACTCGGCCCACTTAATGATAATAGCGCGGACAAAACACGCGGATTCTGCGTAAACGTCGTATATATCGGAGCGATTTACGTTCGTTACTCGTCGCGCGAGATCCCCTTTTCCGAATCTGAAACACAGAAGAGGGGGAAAAAGCGAAACACGCCGTAATCAGTCGATCAATCAATGAATCGTACACGACAATCGTACAGCATGGAGGCGAGCTCAACGGCGAAAAGCCGAGAGTGACGTTCGTTTCCTTTTTCTCGAAATTCGCTCCGGGTCGATCTGGAGACTCGCCGGGGGGAGAGACCCGTCGTTGAATTAACCTAGCGATCGTCTCCGAGCAAGTACGAGCGGAAGTATGTAGGTGCGCGCGCCCGAGACGGCGTCTTCCCTCGGTGGGGTTGCGCGGCGAGATATCCGTCTCGGGCGAAGAAGCGAGTCGTCGCCGGGAGATCTCCGTAGTGGACTTACCGCCTGCGGTGCGAACACGCGCGCGCGAAGATGAGGTCAGCTGGTCGCGAGGAGTCGACGCGGCGATGACGATGGTGACGATGAGAGTGACGGCGTCCCGACGAGCGCTCTACGACGGAAAAAGCCATCACCGCACGTGCCACAGGCCAAGATTCAACGTACTCAGCTGCGGCAGCTTCATGATCCGCTCGAGGCCGCCGGTGGTGATCTTGGTGCAGCCGTAGAGGTCGATGCACTTGAGATGCTTCATGTTCTCGGCCATGGTGTGGAGGCTCCGGTCGGTCAGCCGGCTGCACTGGCCGATGTTGAGGGTCTCGAGGTCGTGCAGGGTCTTCGCGATCTTGCAGATGCCCTCGTCGCTGATCTGGCAGGCGGACAGCGAGAGGGACTTGAGGTTGAACAGGCCCTGGGAGATGTGGACGAGCGCCTGGTCGCCGATCTTGTCGCAGAACGACACGTCGAGCGAGGTGATGCGGCTGCCGCCCTCGGCCAGGTAGGCCATACCGATGTCGGAGATGTTGTCGCACGAGCGGAGGTTGAGCTCGCGCAGACTCGACATCCGGGCCAAGTGCTTGACGCCGGAGTCGGTGATGCAGACGCAGAAGGACAGGTTGATGGACTTGAGGGTGGTGAGGCCGAGCGAGACGTTCCTGAGCGCCTCGTCGCTCAGCCGCTGGCAGTCCTGCAGGCTGAGATGCTCCAGGGCGAGGTTCCCGTCGGCCTCGCGGTTCAGCCCGGCCAGATAAGCGATACCCTGGTCGGACACGTGCCAGCAGCTCCTCAGGTCCAGCCGTTTGAGCTTCTTCAGGCCCCACGCGATCACCATCAGCCCGGTGTTGGTGATGTTGCAGCAGCCGCCCAGCTCGAGGTGCTCGAGGTTCTTCAAGTACTGGGCTATCCGGCCGAGGGAGGCGTCCGTCACCTGCTTGCAGAGCGACAGATTGAGCACGGTGAGGGTCGGCAGTTCCTGGCAGAAGCCGTTCATGATGCCGCTGTCGGTGATGTTGTAGCAGCCGGACAGATTGAGCGCCTCGAGATTCGGCACGCCTCGCAGAACGGCGCTCAGGCCGTGCCTGAGCGACAATACCTGCACCTTCTTCACGCCGCGGCGCACCAGGCTGGCGAACAACGCCGGTGCCTGTTTCCTCAGGTGCAGCCGCGCCTCGACCCCTCGCCAGACCGAACGATAGTAGGCGGCGTCGCGCCACGCGGTGCACACCTGCGCGGCGCGTCCCTTGTCGCGCACCTCCAGGTAGCTGAAGATCAGGGCGAGGATCTCCGGGTAGAGGCAGGACACGTGGGTGCTCGCGTGTCCGGCCGCGGCGGCGGCGGTGCCGCGCGGCACCTGCGGCATCTGCCGCGACGAGATGCCGCCCTGGACGTAGGCCGGCAGACCGGCGGCGGCGGGGCCGCCTCCGGCGATCCCACCGCCGGCTGCCTCGTTGCTCGCGTTGTAATGCGGCGCCGTGCTGCTGGAGTTGTGCATCGAGATCGCCTGGCTCTGCGGCGTCGGTATCGCCAAGTGCGGCTGGTGCAGGTGGTAGTAGTGACCGGGCCTGTGTAGCAGCGTCGTGCCGCCGCGGCTCGGCGTCAGCGCCGGAAGTTCCGTCATCAACAGCTGACTCTCCTCCATGTCGGTCGCGTGTGTGACCGCGCCGTGACGGGCGCGCGCCACCGGGGCCGTGCGCGCCGCCGCTTCGACGACGACGACGAGCGAGCAGCAGCAGCCGCCGGTCGCAGTGCGCGAGTCGCCGTCGCGATGATTATTGTCCGCCTTTGACCCCCGCGCCTCACACACGCGCGCACGACCGACTCTATCGATCGTGGCTATCGATCGCCGCGCTACGCGCTGACCATCGCGCTATCACCGCGTCGACGGATCGCAGCGCGCGATCCACGACGTGGTCGAGCCGCGTACGACGCGCCACCCNCGACGGTGCGCGACCATCGACCGATATCGGGGAGGAGAGAGAGAGAGAGAGAGAGAGAGATGACGACTTCGCGCGCGCAACTTGTCCGTGAGAGGTTACAGTTTTCACGAAAGCGTCACCATTCTCTCGCGCGGCCACATGTCGAGAAACACCATCGTCGCGTACCTCCTCTCGCCGCTAACTTCTCTCGCGTCGTCGTCGGGGAATACTGTTTTTCTCTCTCTCGCTCTCTCACCCTCCGACGTTCCTCCCTCTTTCTCTCCTTATACCACCCCCGCCTGCTCCACCTCGCCTCTTGCCACTCACTCGCGCTCTCTCGATCCTTGTCGCGCACACCGCGGTCACTTCCTCTACTCTCTCGCTCTGGTCGCGACGACTGGCTGGCTGGCTCTCTTTTTGCACGCGAGACGACTACTACGGCACGAGTATGTGGGTGTGTATATATATGTACGGAACGTTCACGCGCGCATTGCGTGTTTTTTTTTTCTTTTCCGGCGAATACGACCAGCCAGCGGCGGCGGACGCACGCACGGTGCGTGTGTAACACGTAGTGTCGTAAGAGACGAGAGACACGGTACCAAACGACGGCGACTCCGTTCCCCGTACACGTGCTAACGCCGTAACGTCGTTCTTCCTCCCGTCGCCGCCGCTGCTGTCGTTATTACCGTCGTTGTCGCCGCCGCCGTCGTTGAACGCCCGTCGATGTGTGTCGTGTCGGGGTCACTCGTACTACGTCGGCCGCCGTACGTGGAGCGGCACATCGCCAAACTGTGAACCGGTGCGCTGCCAGCCGCGGACTGTTGTTCCGCCTACACGAAAGCAGATGTCGTGCCGTCACTCGTCGTGGGCACAGGCGGAGCGAGCCTCGCTCGCTCCGAACGCCGATTGGCCCGCGCTGCTGGATAGCCGTGCCACGTGACCGCACCGGCGAATATCGATTCGGGTTGCGCTGCGGCGGCATTTTTAAGTTTTCGTTGCGTGGTGGGAGGGGCGGTAGGGGCCGGGGGAGAGGGTGAGACACACACGGTGCGGGCGCGCGCACCGTGTACCCTGGACCACCACGTTGCGCGAGGGCTGACGCTTCGTATCGCTCGAAGAATACTGTCGATCCCGCTGCTCTCGATCCCGCCGACCGTTCTTTTCCTCCGCGTCGCTCCCGCCGTTGTTTTCGCGCAGCAAAGCGCTGTCAACTCATCGCGTTGAAATTCGGCTTTGCCGGCTAGAGAGAGAGAGAGAGAGAGAGCTTTTGAAAGTTCAGGGGTCGAGGCGCGATAGCTTTTATCTGTCGTTGCTTCTGCCTCTCGTGCTCGGCGAATCTTCGATCGACCCCGGATCGGTGTACTTCGAAATTCACCGTTTCCGACGATTTACGCGCTTGTTCCCGACGTTTCGCGCAAAAGTAATACATGTGAACGCAGAACAACCCCTCCCCCCTAGTTTATCGGTTGAAATGTCGTCGATTTATTACGGAGCGACATTTGTAAAATACAGATGGAAGTGGTGCAGTAGCATCCTCGCAGCGACATCCTCGATGCCGATGATCTCTCGGACCATCTTCTTCACGGCCCGTGATAAATTACATTTTATACGCGCTGCGATCGCCGAATTTCTCCGTGTGTGTGTTGTCCCTCGTTATTTATAAAGGAGATTTTGTAATAAGTTTTGAATTATAAAGGAGACGCTAAAATGTGCACGTTATTATAAATAGATTATCTCAGAGATCTCGATGTCTCCGAGAGTTAACTTATTTTTAGATCGTAAGCGAATTTCAGACGAGATATTTAAGATCGAGAGCAATGTGAGCTTCTCCATGACGACTTGCGGGACAATTTGTACGCTAATTAATGGAATTGCAGGATCGTGCTGCACATCCGGGATGTCGTGCGGTATGTTTGGCATTTCGATCGATCCGTGAGTACATATGTACCGAACGGGAAGAAAATGCGAGGCACCGTGTAAATCGTAAATCCCCCGATATGACACTTCGTTTTAATATCGATCATAACTCGCATGTCTTTGTGCGAGCACAAAGGCACGATAAAATGCGTTGTCTTTCCTCAGCGGGTTTTCCACGAAAGCAAAATCATCGCGTTTCTCGTACTCGGAGACGGGCCTTGATTATTCGCGCGAGCGGCCGGAAAACTTTCGAAGGGAATCTTCACCAATGCCTCTTCTCATCTCGTCGGTGTCTTGCGTAACGTTTCTCGATCGGACTCGATCGCACGTGTGTCAGCGCGCGTTCCTCGGCGATATTTCGCGGGGTATTAATGAGTTATTTTAATTCATTGCGGACGTTGCTCGTTCGATCGATACGGGTCGGTTGCACGCACTCATTATGCAGAACAACTGCGAACGCGAGACGAGGTCGTTTCGTTATTCCGACGAATCGGATAGTTTTTGATTAATCTATCCGGCATTACGGCGCTATGCTTGTGTATTACCGTCGGCGAAGCGCGGAGAGATACATGCTCGTTCGCTGAAAATGTATATCATTCGCGGAAAGTCGATAACTCCCTTCCCCCGCGTTCCCCCGGATGAACGTAACGTGAGTAACGTCAACGGTTCTTGCGGATACATCGCAGCTCCTCTAACTACGTTATTTCTACTTGATTAACGAAGAAAATTAAAAAAAAAAAAAAGGCAAAGCTCATAATTGATACTCCATATCGATATAGGGCGGCTCTTCGGATACGGGATACCTCATCATGTTCGTTTGCAAAATGCAAATATACCGCCGCGCGTAGTTACACTTTTGCCGTCTTTCTCCTGCCATTTTTCATCCGGGGAACGCGATTTTCCCTCGGTCATAAAATACGACAGAAGAGCACCACTGTGTTCATTTGGAATTTTATTATATAGTCACACATTGTCGGTCTCTTCTCTTTCGCGCGGATATCCGTTGCATATCGAGTCAGTGGTGCTTCATTCTGTCATGAATCCCGTAATTGTACTCTCTCGTGGACAACAACTGGCGATAATTACACAATCGAAACGGCGGGCGTGCGTGCGTGCGTGCGTCACCTCCGACTCCCATCTCACGCGTAACTAAAAGATAAAAGAACAACGCGGGTACGCGTACACACAGACATCCTCTTTCGGATCAAGACGGGAAGGAGGAGGACACGCAAAGCGTCTTCGCAACTCATCGAGCGAATTAACAATAAATGGTCGAGTGAAAAGCGGCACACGCTCGTCTTTGACACATACATGTAGATCTCTATTTATTTATCTCGGTCGTACGTATGTATATAATAATATTACAACGTTATAACTGTATAACAGTAAACAAGATTGAATATGCTTGATTGAAATACTCGTGAATATGCCACTAAAACTGGCAAGTAGAAATATATACACATTGTAGGATGTCGCTTTATTGCCTCTAAGGGGAATATGTGATTGATAAAGAAAAGAGTGTGAAAGAGAGAGAGAGAGAGAGAGAGATAGGAAGAGAAAGAAGAAAGGAGGCAGGAAGCGGGAGAGGGGGAAATGAGAAACAATGATGATAGTAATTACAATAGGAGCAAGAGGACAGGTGGATAGGTACACACAGCGGTATTACAGTGGCAGCCGGCGACATATCTTAACTATTATCACAGATTAATACAGACAGCTTCTGTCATAGTGACATTGGACATGACCGATCGTTCACAATTTCGTCTTGCTATCTACCCTTCTGCAATAAATGTTCGAATCGTTCGTCTTTGTGTATGTATGCAGGTATATGTGTGTTGTGTGTGTGTATTCGTCGCGAATGCACGGACAATTTAAAGTATACTTGCGTGTACGAGTATATATATATATATATATATATAAATTCGGACGCGCGCACAAAGGATTACAGGCTCCCCTCGCTTTCGTTCTTCGTGTCGCAGAGCCGCGCTAATGTACAGAGATATGTTAGAATTCGTGTAGAAAATTAAAAAGTGTGATAATACTGTACGTCTTATATTTTATTAATGCAGGACTAAATACTGTGTATGCTCTCCGAATTAATGTACATGCGATAATTGTTTTCTCGTTGGGAAGTTCGTCGTTCTTTTCGGATTCTCGGACAGAGAGAAAGAGAGAGAGAGAGAGAATGTGTCTGTGTGTGTGTGTTATCCGACAAATCTTATATGTATATCGATACTTAAGATTCCTTTAAGATACGTCGTATTTTTACGAAATACATTGTTTCACGTACACGCAGAATGCGCTTAAAACCCGTAGCCAATTTTAAAATGTTACAAAGGACGAATTTTCACACGTGTAAATTTTACAAATAACACATCACATTCGTTTGTAAATCCGTGTCACAGTCTTCTGAATGCATAGTATAAGTGTATGTGTGTGTGTGTGTATCAAACTGGACGCGTGAGAAGCAGCAGCTTTTCTTTTTTTTTCTTATAGTATTCGGACAGTACGCGGTCGGACAACATACGGTGATTCACTTGTTGTATACGCGGTCGCGTAAAGCACGCCACTGCGTAACGTCGCAACACTTTCCGCCGTTTGGCGTCCGACTGAATCTTTCAGATGGATTGAAAGCGTCTTCGCAGGAACTTCATTAAAAAAAAAAAAAAACGTCTTAAGAATTATTTAGACCAGTTAAAAGTATATCCGCCGCCTCTTTTGTTCCAAAAATTCTCTAATCCTACGCTTTAAAGACAATTTATTTAAAATATGGTAACTCATCGTTGAACGCAGAAGAATTTTACATCATGACTGAAAAACGACACCTGTACAACTTAATAACAATTAGCGGAAGATATTCGTAGCAGTGATTGTTTGTTAAAACATTATCATTAAAACGTTTCACCTGATGCTCCAATCACATGTGTGTGCGTGTGTATGTGTATACGTGTAAGACAACAGCTCTTTCTTTTTTCAGTGTTTTGCGTGTGTGCGAGTTACCCTTCCGTAAAAAAATGATTACAAATGAATAATAGGCCCTTGCTTGTTCTCTCGACTGCAGCATGCGGATGAAAGTATTTGACACGTCAAAGGAATGCCGTACAAGTTGTTCTCGCTAAGTAAGCCCTACGCGCGCGCGGTATCTCGATTCTACACATTAAATACAATACTAGCATCGAAAGGTATACTCCTCAGTTACAGGATACGTTCTTAGGTATCGTATTTAGAATACAAAACTTATTGATATTAGAAAATATTTCCGGCGTCTCATGTCCACTCTGGTACTAACACATGCTCTCTGTTTTATTCTGTCCTATCATCGTATCAAATAATATTGTGAATAGCTGGCATGCTTATACAACGTCGCTAACAACATTTTTTCCTGTGCTGTCTTGTGCTTTTCCTCAGGTTGACGGTATCGTTCGGCTGTATGGCTTGCCGCTCCTTGCTCTCCTTTTTGGTCCGTAATACTTGCCGCGTTATCGCCATGAACATCTGCAAATGATGATGATACGATCCACCGTTAAAACAAGGTTTGATTCAGCTAATACTAGAGAAGGGATTGTTAATACGATAAAATACGTGACGCTTGATCTCTGTTAATTGACCATCGATAACGAAGCGGTGCGACATACCTCCTCGACATTGATGTTGTCCTTCGCGGAAGTCTCAAACAATTGTATCCCCATCTGATTAGCGAATCTTTGTGCGTCCTCCGTTAACACTACCTTCTGATTAGGTGCATCGTTCTTATTCCCTACGAGTACCCTGTTAACCACATCACAATTCTGTTCGATTTCGTGCAACCATCGCTTAACGTTCGCAAACGTATCACCGCTGGTCACATCGTACACAACTATGACGCCGTGCGTTCCCCTGTAGTAAGTTGAAGTTATTGTCCGGAAACGTTCTTGTCCAGCCGTATCCCAAATTTGCAGCTTTACCCTCTCACCGTCCACCTCCACAGTTTGTATCTTAAAGTCCACCCCTATCGTTGTTATATAACTGCCATTGAAAGTATTGTCGGCGAATCTCAGAAGCAATGAGCTTTTACCTACACCTTGAGGACAGAAAGAAAAAAAGACACATTTAATTATATACATATATATTAAAATATGTGTGGAAAAAGTCTTTTCTCTTTCTTCCCTTCTTTCTTACAAATACGACAAACGGACAGAATCAATTATTCTCCACAGGTTACCGAACTCTTCATTCTACTCAATCGTTCTAAGTTATACAAAATGCTGCTTAACTATTGCTCTATGCTTAACTATCGGCAATTACATTAATCAGATATTCATGGGCCGAACACAAATATGTACGTGAACTAACGAATCCTTCGGTTGTCGCAATAGAGATCGCCTAATCACGGTAAATGCAGTTAATCGTCACACAAGCAGTGATAAGCACATTGAAATGAATGTTTATCGTTTCATTATCTCCGCGGTTTCCCTTTATTAAGACGAGGCATTATCTCGCCTCTCAAACTGCTCTCAATCTATCTATACAGGAAGAAGAACAATTTTCACGTCATGAGATCCGAGTTGCATCGTGCACGGAGCAACGGACCCGTGCCTCATCATTTAATAAACCGCCGGGTGAAACTGCGTAATGACAGGCATGATCATCGGTTCGCAACCGACGAATGTCGCGACGCCTCGAGAGCTCCGTTCTTTTCGTCGCGCTTCTCCGCGCTCGACGCATCTGGAGCAAGACCAGCTCGTTCGCTCGGTGAAAGAGAGAGAGAGAGAGAAAAGAGAAACGCACGGCTGATAAGAACGGAGGGAGATGACCGAACGTGCGTTTAACACGGAGCGGATATATTTCGCGACAGTATGGTCGGTTGTATGCATGCGTATTTACCGCTGTCGCCAATGATGAGCAGCTTGAATAAGTGATCATATTCCCGGGCCATCTTGACACTCGCGAGGTGTCCTTTCGGTATTGCCGCACTCTGCCTCCGTTCCTAACGTCGGCCGACACACGCTCGCGCGGCGCGTGCGAGATATTTTTGCCGATGCGCGCTCGTTCGGGCGTATACGCGAGAGAGTGAGAGTGAGAGAGAGAGAGAGAGAGATAAAACGATAATATACTAGCCCTGCGCGATCGTCAGCAGCAGCGACGGCAGCGAGATTCGCGGTTCGCCTAGACCGGAGGACGACTCTGGTATCAAATGATCGCCATGTTTATACGCCGCGGTATCACCATTCATTATCATTACTACGGGAGAAAAAAGTACTACGCTTGTTCAACGCGACGCCCATCCCATATCAAATTGTCACCAACTTGTCACTGCCCGCCATGTTCCTTCCCGCAACGTCCGGTCGCGTTCGCAATGTAGCGAATTGAGCGACGGCGCTATTGCGCAAGGGTTTTCGTATCGTTGAGATATCGGCCGCGTTCAGCGGAACGTTCATCTCGCGATAAAACTGTTGAAAGTTTCCTGTGCTGACGTTGGATTATTCCTCTTTAGATCTGTGGCTAGGATTCGTATCTTGTATTTAAGACAATCTTAAGTTCATCTTCAGATGCTTCGTAGCCAATGAAATGAGCCGTATCTGAAGATAGAACTCTGTAGGTAGTTTTAAATATAAAATCCAACTGCCGGCCTTAAAGAATAATTTGATCTCAGCTGAGAAAACTTCCAACGGTTGTCAAATAAAACGCCGAACGCGGCCATTGAACATCTGCCTTGAACACTGCGGAGCCGGCTGTCTGATCCGTCGTTGAGCTGTACTACCGCCTCGATTCGCAGGTAAAGGCGGTTTTTACAGTGTATGTACCGCAAATTTGTTCAGTAAGTAATTCCAACCAATACGGTAGATAAGACAACGAGACGATGAAGGATGTGGAGACGCACGTAATCCTTTAACGGCGAGTGTCATTTTTATTACAGGCTGATAAACGCTCATAACCTCACATGTCAAATGCATACCGACCGGATGTCTGGAGTCATCAGCCGCGACGATGATTTGCGTGATTTACGGCGTGTAAAAAAGCGCACGCAATTTGTGCAGCACGATACGTATTGCGGTGTCAAAACATAGAAGATGGTGTATGTCACGCCGATGCGTGTATTGCACAAAACCAACAGGATGTCTTACCATTACCGCAATATCGCTGTGATATGTTTGTTATCGTTCACACTGTTCGTCGTATCGCTGTACGGTGTACTGTTCACAGTATTGTACGTCTTTAAATTCGGCAGTACACAGAAACATTCCGATTACGTTCCCGTAACGCTGAGCGACATCAATGCCCTGCCCGTTCAAACGTTGTCCGCGGACTTGGCCACCGCGGAAGCCACCAATTCTTCGTGCACCTATTTCGGATGTTTCAACGTGTACCGTTGCGGCAGCCAAGGGAACAAGCTTCTGGTGTACGTCTATCCACCCAAGGTATATCTGGACTCTATGGGTAGACCTGTAACGAGTCAAATGACGAAGGAGTTCTATCAGATTCTGAGTACTATAATCGACAGTAAGTTTTACACATCCAATCCGTACGAGGCTTGCATCTTCGTCCCTTCCATTGACACTCTCAATCAAAATAGATTGAGGTTACAGGAAGTATCTCAAGCATTAGGATCCTTACCTTTGTGAGTTTTGCTTCTTTAATCCTCCCTTCTGCTTAATCGGTATCATTATGTCGGATGTTTTGCTGGAGTATAGCTGGAATAAAGGGGAGAATCACTTGATCTTTAACATGGTGCCTGGAAGTGTGCCAGATTACAACACAGTCATTGATGTTCCAATGGGAAGGTCGATTATAGCCGGCGCTGGAATGTCGTCGTTAACATACAGACCTGGTTTTGACATTAGTCTGCCGGTTTATAGCCCGCTAGTAAACAATATTAAGACGAACCTGAGCAATACGAGGTAATGAGAGAAGGATTGAGTAATAATAAAGACTTTGTTGTTACTTCATATCAGATCCATGTTTACTGTCTTGTTTCAGAACATGGCTAGTGATATCTTCGCAAATCAATATCAACACTGCCTTCGAACAGGACCTGATGGAAATCAAAGCTACATATTCAAAAGATATTTTAGTGTTGGGACCGTGCTTGCAATATAACCCAATGAATAATACAATACGTTGTATAGGAGAAGACGTATTGAAATATCCTGATGTCCTGCATGTAATACAGTTGCGATAATTGTCAGATAAACTTTTCTTCCGTCAATATAGCGCGTGTAACGGGATTTTTCTTTCCCGTAGTCGGCAACATTTTGCTTGATAATCCGTGGCGCCAGACTTGCGCAGAGCGCGCTTCTGGACGCAATGGCAGCTGGTTGCATACCTGTTATCATCGCAGACTCTCTAACAATGCCATTTCACGATGTGATCGACTGGACCAGGTAAGACCAGCTGCTCGAAAAGATTACCAACATATTAGTAATATCTTAGCATTGCATTAAGATACGCGATATATTGTTTCCGCAGACATTCATTGTGACGATTTACGACGATAAAACATTTATGATTCTGTCTATTCGTTGCTTGCCAGGGCCGCTGTTCTCGTGAGGGAGGTTGACATCTTACTGATAATACAATTGTTGAGGAAGATATCGCAGCAACGTGTCACGGAGATGCAGGAACAGAACGCGTGGCTCTACGAGCGTTACTTCAGCTCGATGGAGAAGATCACAGAGACCACGTTGGAGATACTCGCGGATCGCGTGTTTCCGCATTTAACACAGGATTACACATATTGGAATATACCGCCCTACAAGGTAAAGGTGACGAGAAAGTCATTAGGGAGGAGAAGCGGAGTCCACTAACATGTGAGTAATCGTGAATACAGGGGAGGACCTCGCCGCTCTTTCTACCGGTGACCGCCCCTAAGACACGCGGTTTCACCGCCGTAATACTGACGTACGACAGACTGGAATTACTTTTCCTGTTAATCAATAAACTCGTGAAGGTGCCGAGTTTGTCCAAAGTTTTGGTCATTTGGAACAATCAGCAGAAGGACCCGCCGCACCGTAAGGAGACATTTGATCGAGCGTAGTATTAATGAATCCAATCATGCGTTAGCTTTGTTTACGTTCGACTAACACATTGCAGCGTCGCGATGGCCGAAAGTCAACAAACCACTGAAGGTGATTCAAACGAAAGAGAATAAATTGTCTAACCGATTTTACCCATACGACGAGATCGAAACCGAGGCAGTATTGTCGATAGACGATGACATTATCATGTTAACTGCCGATGAAGTGGAATTTGCGTATGAGGTGTGCGCTTAAAACGATCTTAGAATTATTATTCGCACAATCGTACTTTCTCTCGCAATATCAACGAGTATTCGAAATGTTCTCTCACACTTTTCTCCCAGGTGTGGAGGGAATTTCCCGACAGGATCGTTGGCTTTCCATCGCGCATACACATGTGGGACAATGGAACGAATTGCTGGAAATACGAGAGCGAGTGGACGAACAGCATCTCCATGGTTCTAACGGGTGCTGCATTCCACCACAAGGTAAACGATGTCGCAAACTCTCATGCTCTGCTTTGTCATTCCGTTCATTTTCTCTCATCGCCGAGTTGTGTAACCGAATTTTTCTTTCTTTTCCCTAACACGTTTCAGAAAAGACCCCGCAATACAAATCCTCGGATCTTGTTTCACTTAGCGTAAAAATTAAACGCATCCTCTCCTGCTATCCCCCATTATCAGGAATACACACAAGATAATCCGGCAAAGTAACTTATACGACTTTCGTCGCATATTTGTCGTCGCGTAATATGAAACTGTGTATTCGGCGTGGTTTTCTTTCAGTATTGGAACTACGTGTATACAACAGCTATGCCCGGTGACATAAAAGAATGGGTCGACGAGCACATGAATTGCGAGGACATCGCGATGAATTTTCTCGTGGCGAATGTTACCGGGAAATCTCCAATAAAGGTGAGCGGAACTTACGGTTGAGTTAACGAGAGTGATACGACCGTTTTTTCGAAAACTCGCGCGTAATTTCGCAGGTGACGCCAAAGAAGAAATTCCGATGCCCCGAGTGCACCAATACCGAGATGCTGTCCGCGGATTTGACGCACATGGTGGAACGTACGCAGTGTATAAATAAATTCTCTTCTATTTACGGCACTATGCCGTTAAAGTCGGTCGAATTCCGTGCGGATCCGGTACTCTTCAAGGACGTGTTCCCGGAAAAACTAAAGCGGTTCAACGACATAGGCAGTTTATAACTGCACGTGGATCGATTCCACATTCAATGGCAATTCTTGAGAAGCCAGTCTAACGGCTTTTCAAATATATATATATATTTTATACACACGTATATATTTATATAATATATATGATCTTTATACATAAGATATATATAGCTGTTATATACTATCTGAAAAAAAATTTATATATATATATATCGAATCTTATATATATATATATATAATTTTTTTCTCATATATTATCTGTGTATATAATCTTGTATAGTTTTTTTTTATTGTATATTTGCTTCAGTGCTTAAAATACTTGATCAAAGTGCAATTATATCAAGAGGTTATATTTTAAACCATCATCAAGTTTATTATATTTTTACGAGTTAACAATAATTAGGTCAAGTGTAGGAAAATATATCTGCGAAACTGTACTGTATAAAATGATCGTGTGTAAAACAATGCGTCACGGTATGTAGCACTATCATGAATGACTAAATAAAATGTCGCGGTTTTGTATAAAAGTTGTTTGTATATAGTGTGTGTGTATATATAAAGTGTTTATAGCGCTATAAATTATTCTACGAAAGGTTTATCTACATCTCCTATCTATAAAATTTCAATCAGATTTCGAGTCCCTTCATTTTAAAGCAGACGCCTTCAACGACAGCTTTCTTGCCTACTTCGGATGACGGTAAGACCGACATATAACTCTAACAGAGGTAGAAAGTACAAATAGAAATTAATAATTTTAGTAATAAAAAAAAAAAAGGAACATTCTCCGTACGGTTCGTGAATATATGGAAAAAAGTACCGAAGTAACTTTAGATGAAGAGAATGGAATACGTACCACTGGTGCATTTTCCGACGTGTTCATGTAGCCTATTATCATGGAATTTGTGGAATGGCTCCAGAGAAAGTCACCTAATCCTTCCTGTGACGAATATCGTATGGCGATTACACCCCCGAGCTTCTGCTCAAGTCCGTTGAGAAACTTCGAGTCTGAGGGAGAGACACAAGAAGATACCGTAATCGCGCTCGTTAACCAATCAATGCGACTAATCGGCAATGGTCCTACAGAGAAGATGGTAACAAAGTAGTTACGGGTGTTCACCGATAAAATCAGCGTTCATCGCTCGATGTAGGCTCGTGGTTGGACAAGACACTTCGGATATGGCTTCCGCGATTGTGCGTGCTAACGAGGTGCGCACAAGGTGTTCCCCGCAACCTGACGTACTGGTGCCTATCGAGTGAGATGTATCATTGCTGGCCCAAGTACCGCAGCCCCATACTCCAGCCTGAAAGAACGTAAAGTTAAAACTTAAGATGGAAGTTAAAACTTAAGATGGAAAATTCAATAGAAATAATAAAACGGTCTATATATGCAGAGACACTAGAATTGTAAGACGCAAGTACATCGGCATCTCGAGAAGTCTTTTCACAATCATTGTTCTATGTAAGAAAAATTACTGCATAAATTAGTACCTGTCCGACTCTTCCCGGATATTTCAATATTATACCACCACTCGAACAGGCTGCAGCGATGTTTCCGTTATCATCGACACATATAGCGCCCACAGTATCCATTCTTTTTTTAGCACACTGCGGCAATAAAATAATTCTCAAGTATGACAATATACTTGAATTAGAACAATATTAAATAATTTCTCTGGATACCTTTTGAATTTCCACACTGTTATCCTCTACTTTTCTCTTGTAGTGCTTATAGATCTTCTGGGCTCTCACTAAAATACGTTATCAGAATGTCTGATAAGTAAACTTCTAGGTTTACTGAGGGTTAAGCAAAATTCCCACTTCATACAGATCATACATACTTGATATCAACTGTTCCGGTGGTAAGGTTTGTATACCCATTTCATGAGCCCAAATATGCGCGCCATTCCCAACCAAAAAGCTGGCGGAACAAAAATTATTACAGTTGAAGTACAATTGACTGACATGAGACTAAGTAAAGATTGAGTACACACCTAGGTGGGATTCTGCCATATGGAAATTTAATGGATTGTTGCTCGCATAACCGCTTTGCCAGTAAGATGGGATTTTTTATTCCACTTACTGCACCGACTGCACCAAACTGCAAGCTACTACCATCCATCACGCTTGCATCACATTCTACTGTTCCATTTAGGGTGAGATTTGATCCAAACCCAGCATTTGTCATGGGAGAATCTTCTAATTCAACCGTAGCTTTAACAACTGCATCTAATACGCTGCCACCTGATTTCAGACTTTCAACCCCCTGATAGAATGTAAAGGGAGATGATACATAATGCGATAAGAAAGATTTATAAAATACTTAATATATGTTGCATATTAATTTAGTTAAGAATTTTACCACTTTGCATGCCTCACGACACAACTTTTGATATTTTTCCTTGAGTGACGTAGAATGCTGACCAGCACCTAATGAAAAAAAAAATAATGGGATAATTTGTAAAAATGTGAAGCATAATACTTGTACGCATTCGATCGCAAATACATGCCTACGTGCACAGCAACGAATCCTTGTTTAATATTACTCATGAGACTGAATTTTGTTTCTTTTATTTCTTGGACATATATTTGTTATTTCTTTATTAAATAACGAATACATACGACACTAATCACTTGTAAATACGAGTAGGGGACGAAAATAAGAAAACCAAAACAATTCGATGGATCAAGCGCCATGTATTTGCAAAAGCTATTAATTTCAAAATCTCCGCTATGAACCGCCACTGTTCTCAGAATCGAGGGTGTAGTACAACTCAATGATAAGTCCGACGTAATTATATTTACACCTTTCGAGTGATATAATTGAATGGAACTGCCTGCAATTTCCATAGAAATAACAATAACGAGATTATTCAAAAAGCATTTCGCAATTTGAAGTCTTTAATTTTCAGACATTTTATACAGATCGTAATATTGTCTTCTTTTTGTCGAGATATAAGTGTCGGTCCACAATAGATATTTTAAGCCGTAAGAAATTGACCAATCGCAGTTGAATGTGAAGAGAATAGTTAACTGTGATTCGTCAATTTCTTAAGGCCTAAAATACCTTTTGTGGACCAGCATCTAAGCGAGGACAACAATGACTGTTTAACATCATTGCCAAACACGCGATATCGCGTGATACGAATTCTCACCAAACGGCCGATCACGCGTTATCGCGTAATAGATATTTAGAGTACATAAATCCTATGTACATAATAATAAAAGCATATAAATAATATATTAACTTATTTTGAGCACAATAAAAAAATAAAAAAAATTTGGCCACCACACGAAATTCCAATTTTCAGCTTAGCAATGAACGTGTTAAGGCGTAAGATTTATGAAATTGAAATCATAATTAATTTCTCTTCTATAATTCGACTGTGATTGGTCAATTTTCCTAAGGCTTGGCCTTAAATTCTCATTGCAAAACACGCTTTAGCGCCGATAGTTCGCTCTCCAAACGCACCTAGAGGATGCCCGAGTCGTTCTTGAGAAAATACGCGGCAGCCACTGGCTCTGTACATAACCTGTGTTGAGCGCGATGCGTGTAGTGTGATTCGCCGCTACTGGATATGTTGAGACGGTTGTATGTAAAATTCAATGTGTCATAAGCAGCGAGTTGTTTGCCTCGGTCGCTATGTAAGACGCCGGTTCTTGATCCGATACGCACGCAGCTGTAATATTCAAGTAAGCGTCCATTGAAACGCATTTGCGTCGTACATCACACCGATGAACCTTGCGTCGACGCATATATCTGTTTACATGAACAACATTTATTTTCATTGATGATCCAGCATGGAGCATCACAGTAACAACGAATATCCTTTTAGGTTAAATCTTCAATAGTATTTGAAGAGGGTGATTTCAAAACGGCGGGTGAAATACGAATTGCAGCTAGCTTTACTGATGCTACTCGCCTAATTTCGGGCATTATGTGAATATTCTTACTTAAAGGTATACATGTTGCCTTACATATATGAAAGTCTGTATTCATATTCTGTGTTCAATACCAACTACAGAGAAACTTGACTTTTAGCCTGAGACTACATCGTACACTATTCTCATGTGAAAATATATTTAATGTTGTATGTAAGATATAAATATAGATATTAGTTCTTGTTTTGTATCAGTGGTTTTAATAGTTGTCTTGTTCTATACTCTTGGACTTCTTAATGTATAATTATTAATATATAGTGTCTCAGGTCAACACGAACAAGCTTCATAAGAGCGTAGAATGGATTGAGGTGAACAAAAGAGTTCTCTACCATTTTTCAGACAATGCCAAATTTTGTATTATTAATTATTGGAAATGGTGGCCGAAATGGCCCTCTTTAATTAATAACTCAAAAGTTTGCGTATTATTTGCAAATTGACAAAGAACTTTTGTTCAGAGTGGCTTAATCTACAAATATATCACAGCTCTTGTATCTGGCAAAGTTTGGGATTCAATGTTCAATATATATACTGATGTCTCTCATTAGATACAACAGCGGTCATAGATCATTCCGAATAAAAAAAAAAAGACCTTTTAATAACATGCAATTTTTGAGTTTATCACAGAAGCCTTTATATCCACTTTCAATAATTAATAACTCAAAATTTGGCGTGTTATTTGCAAAATGGCACAGAACTTTTTTTTTGTTCACCTCAATTCGTTCTCAGCAAGTTGTCCCTGTTGGTCTGGATCACCCTGTACACACAGAACGGTTAGACTACATGTCAGGATTTATTCCTTTTTTCCTTTTTTTTTCTGGATCAAAGGAACAGCGTACTTACTGGGATACATTGAATGGAGCACAGCATAGTCTATCCAGAGGATATATGGGACGTATGCCATAATTTAACACAACGCCAACATGATATTCGATTTTCTGAAGAAGATTTTTGGATGGGCGGACGAAGGATCTAGAAAGCGGAAAGTTTCCGAGTTCGCCAGTTTCGAGAGAGGGCACAAGGCAGAACCGAAGAAACTCAAAACCGACTGCAACGCACTGCAATGGATGGAGGATTACTCTGATATCGACGACAACGAGAACGATGACATCATGTTTCTGAGCGAGCGGAAGTTCTCACCGATGAATTCGTGTGCCAAGTTGAACGGTGCGCACAAGAAGCTGCAGCCTTACCAGCACCACTTTCACACAGCTAGCTCCACCTCTGTGTATAAACCTTGCTCGACGTTGCGTCGCGACGATTCGATCATGTCGTCGTGTTTCGTCGATCAGAAACGCAAGATGCACGGCACAAGCGGCGGTGACAAGTCTCTCACACTAGTCAGGACTAACCAGATGAAGGAGAGATATCAGTACGAGGAGTTGCTGCAGAACTTCCTTCCCAGTAGAATACAGATATTGAAGGACAAGCGGGTCGAGCAAGCCCCGGTGCAGAATGTCGTCGAGGTGATCGAACTGGACGACAACACGGAGGGTCCGCCGGCGGAGAAGACGCGGCAGACCGTTACGAAGACGATACCGGAGACAGCGTTGCGTTGGCGCGGTAAGAGTATACTAAGCAGCACCAGGACGGAGAGAGAAAAGGTCCCTACTTTAGATTACAGGGAGAAGAATGACGCGATTCAGGAGTCTGACAAGACAGTGGTGAAACATGAGAAGCCCGGTACGAGCAGGACGAAATTGGCGTCTCTGCCGCCGGTCAGGCCGGTCGCGATGAACTCGTTGCGCGACGAACTGGCGGCGAAGGCCGTAATGAGGCAGGACTTTATTCCCGAGGTCGCCAAGAGGTACAACGAACGGATCGAGCAGCGGTTTCGAGAAGCGGAGGAGCTGAAGAGGATGACCTGCGTCCTGTCGAAGCACAATCGGTATGCGAGGGAGGCGGCTCTGGAGGAGCAACTGGCGCGTTCCATGAAACTGTGCATGGCCGTCCTGGACGAGAAGGAGGAGCCGGAAGAGCCGCCGCTACCGAAGCTGACCGATGAGATGCTGCGCGAAGTGAAGGACGCTCTGGTGCTGTGTCCGCGGGACGAGGTGCTCGCCGAGGGTTTCGGCCTGAGGATCACACGGAAGGACCTGCAGACTCTGGTCGGCCTCAACTGGCTGAATGACGAGGTGATCAACTTCTACATGAATCTGCTCATCATCCGCGGCACCAGCGGCAAGTTCCCGAAGGTGCACGCGATGAACACGTTCTTTTACCCGAAACTGCTCTCGGGCGGTCACTCGTCCCTCAAACGGTGGACGCGCAAGGTCGACATATTCGCGCAGGATCTCCTGGTCGTGCCTATACACCTGGACGTCCACTGGTGTATGTCGATAGTGGACTTCCGGGAGAAGTCCATCGTTTATTACGACAGTATGGGCGGCAACAATCCGAAGTGTCTGGCGGCGTTGAAGCAGTATCTGCAGGACGAGAGCATCGACAAGAAGAAGCAGACGTACGACATGAGCAGCTGGAAGTTGCAGCCGGCGAAGGACATTCCACAGCAAATGAACGGCAGCGATTGCGGTGTGTTCTCCTGTATGTTCGCCGAGTACGTCTGCGCGAACAAGAAGATAACGTTCACGCAGCAGGACATGCCGTACTTTAGGAACAAAATGGTTTACGAGATACTGAAGAGTAAACTCTTGTAAAACGTGTATCGTACGTATCGCGGCTTTCGACAAATCGAGGAATAACGAGCGAAGTGGTATGAAAATGCAAATTAATCTTAAACATTAGAGATAAATGCTGGATAACGATGTATTATTATTGTTCTCTGAAGAGAGATGGGAGGAGAAGGGGAAAGAAGTCACGTCGAGCAAATTTTTTTTAGTTAATTACGTCTCGTTGAAAACGTTAACACAGAACTGTAATCTCATCTTAAAACCCGAAGAGAAGACGCGTCTTTGTTTTGTGTAACGATTCATTCTGATGCTCCTATAAATAAACCTTAACTGATTAACGTAGATGTTGTGTGATATATATAATTATGTAATGTTTTCCAGTTGTGTACAGAAAAGACAATAATCTATATATANATATAGGATTGTCATTTTTCGTTCGACTTATGTACCTTTTACTGCTTTTAGAATTTAATTCGTGTGGGAACTGAAGATCATCGTTGTTTGTTTATAATTATATTTTGACTGTAATTGTCACGTGCGCGGGAATTGATGTCAATCTGAGTTTCAAATGTCAACATGAGAGAGTGACACTGTCGTTCAATGTTAGAATTTCAATGTCATAGTTTTTGTCGGTAAGAGTGGGTAACACAATAACAACTGATCAATAGTGGGTAATTTAAATCTCTGGAGGTCGGTAAGTTACCAGGGTCGATAAATTTCTAGGTGTCGGTAAGTTACCAGGGTCGACAAATTTTTAGGTGTCAGTAAGTTACCATGGTCGATTAGTTTTCGGGGAGCGGTAAATTACCAGGGATTGTTAAATTATCAAAGTCGATATGCTGCCGGGAATCGGTAAGTTACCAAGATCGATAAGATTCCGGCGGCGGTAAGTCTATTTATAGCGCATCGCAGTGGCAGAGTGAGGTTCAAAGATTCCACTTTTTGGATAGATTCAAATAAGAATGATACTTTATATTTATCCAATATTTATGAACCAAAGTATATTCTCGAAGCAATAGATGTCAATAGGTTTGATCTGCATTACGAAGGTATGAGTAACCTGAGATATCTTATAAATCTCAAGTGGCTTAGCATGAGGAATTGCAAAAATAATGACGCCTACGGCTTAGACAAAAATCAGCAGAGCTTCCGGAGTAATTTGACATCTCAGGCTGTAAGAAAATCACTGAGAGAGGATTGGAGGCACTGTATGGAACGTTCAATTAGAAGAAATTTATTCACAAATTACAACAAATCTGCTGCGTCAGAGGTAACTTGTATGATGTTAGAAGGTTGTATGCCTGGCTTGACTTGTGAGAACCCTTGGAAATATCAAAAGATATTTAGTAAGATTACAGTTTGTAGTGAAAGTTACACAGAAATATTCATCTCTATTTATATGTATCACATACTATTTTTATAATTTCAATTTTGTGGCAAATCATCTGTCATTATTTGAATATTAAAGTAAATAAAACATTACGTAGTAAAAGTAACAATTTGTTTTATTAACTTCTTACCAATTAATTTGTTTTTCTCGACGTTTCTTCATAAAATGTACTTCAGTTCAATTTGTAATACCACTCATCAAAATATTTTCATCGTTACAAATAAGTTTAACTTGTTTGAAAGAAGGATTATATTTCTTCCAAATGTGTTTTCAACTTGTTTTCTTTTGGACGTTTTTTCTTTCAAGAGACAGTGTAAGCTACTGTACTGTGTACAATGTGTGTACTTGACTTGAGAGAATCCTTGGAAATATGAAAAGAATAATGTTAAATGAGAGTCATGTTTAGTGAGATAACAGTATGTAGTAAACATTTCACAAAAATATTCACCTCTTTATATCAAATATATATTATTTGTATAATTTCAGCTACGTTGCAAATGAACTGTCGTTACTTGAATATTAAAGCAAATAATATATTAGGTAGTAAAAAGTAACAATTAGTTATTAATTAAAGATATAAATTTCTTACCAATTAATTTTTTTACCAACGCTCCTTCATAAAATATAATTCAGCACAATTTGTAATACTACATATCATAATATTTTCATAGTTAGTAATAAGTTAAATATGTTCTAAACAACAATATTTCTTCCAAATATGTTTCCAACTTATTTATTCTTGACGTTTTCCCTTTCGAAACACATGTGTCGCTCAACAGCCTTCTGAAGAACTCTCATGTGGTGGAACCTGCAATGAAAGAAAAATTATATTATTAGAACGATTGATCAATTCAAATAGACCAATATATCGTTGATAAATTATTAAAAATATCCCAAACCTTACCACTACTGCAAGTTTTGGCAATTCTCCATGATTTAAGAATAAAGTTGGAGTTTGTTCTTCTGCAACTGCAAATTGTGGTCAAAGTACTTTTATCATAACATCTGAGGATAATCCAAAAGAAGTGCATCAATAACATTGTCTATTGCTACCTTAGTCAGTCCTATTAATTCTGGATGACTAATTTGTGTATAGTTTCAGACTTTGCTTTATCAGGATACAATTCTTCTTAATTATCTCTTATTGCATCTTTTATTTATGAGTTTTCCGCAATATTATACGATCGTCTGTTAAATTTTAATGTTTCCAATGATTGTTCATCCGGGAACATTCGCTTTTCTTTTAACGATATTCGTGTCAATTGTACTCGATATCGTGATGCCAAAGGATGAATCACGATAATTTCCGATACAAGTGGCATGCTTCCTCGATCAACGGAAACATTTCTTTCTTATTTACTTTCTCATTGTGGTATCCACTTTTGTGGGTATGACGGTGCTCATGGCGACGGAAAATATGTTTATAATATTTTTGCAGCATACCAGGTGTATGCATAAGTTTTTTCCGGTTTAACTAAGAAATGGCGC